AAAAAAAAAAAAAAAAGAAAAGAAAATGTCCCAGCAAGCTGAGATCGAAGGAGCCCAGGCCTTGGAAACTGATTGTAACTGAATAAGACATTCACACTGAATGGTTTTTTTCCTGTTTCATAGAAAATTGGCAACTTTTCCATTGTTCGGCGGCTTGGCGTGCAGGAGTGTATTCTCCTGGTTACCCAGCGCATAACCAAATACCCGGTGCTGGTGGAGCGCATTATTCAGAACACAGAAGGTAGGCACGCTCCCCATTACCTTGCCTGCCAGGGCTATGATGCACAGGGGTCTCATGCCACCAGCTGCACCTTTTAGCAATAGGTTGTGCAATTCTCCCTGGAATCCTCTGTGCTGGGAGCTGGGCTTTCCAATCCAGGCAAAATGGGACAGTCAGCATGTGAGGTCAAGGGCTGGGTCTCCTTTGTTCATCATGACCCTGACCCTAACCCAAGCTTGATCTCCCAGATTCTGGGGCCCTTCTGTGTGCTAGGTGAGTGGATGGAGTAAGATCATGCTTGCTTAGCCAGAATGGCCAAAGACACCTTTGTTTATTTTTACTTAAGTTTTTGTTGGTCATGGGGCTTGAACTCTCGCCTAGGCACTGTCCCTGAGCTCTTTTGCTCAAAGCTAGTGCTCTACAACTTTGAGCCACAGCACCACTTCCAATTCTCTGGTAGTTCATGGGACAGATGAGTCTCACGGACTGCTTAGACTGGCTTTGGCTTTGAACCACTATCCTCAGAACTTAGCCTCCTGAATAGCTAGAATTACAGGCGTGATCCACCAGCACCGGTTGTTTGTTTATGTTTGTGCTGGTCCTGGGGCTTGAACTCAGAGGCCTAGGCATTGTCCCTCAGCTTTTTTACTCAAGGTAGCACTCTAGCACTTGAGGCACAGTTCTACTTCTGAATTTTTGCTGTTAACTGGAGATCAGAGTCTACCCAAGCTGACTTAGAACCACAGTCTTTAGATGTCAGCCTCCTCAGTAGCTAGGGTGACAACCATGAGCCATAGTCACCCAGCCCAAAGACTTGTGTATGGTGACCATGCCAAGCCAAGGATGCTCCTGCAGATGGCAGAAAAGGATCACCCAGGAGGCCCCGGGCCAGGCATGGTGAGCACAGCAGCCCTATCTCCTGTGGATTCAGGCTGTTCCTCCTCCGGGCCTTTGAAGTAGGAGTTGCTCATCAGTGTCCCAACAGGAGATAGAAGGCAGCTTTTGTCACTCATGTTATCTTTTAGCTTCTGTGTCCCATGGAAATTCTCCCTAGATACAAAACTAAACCTCTGGGCTGTTATTTATTTTGGAGAGAGCCATTTGTGTCTCAGGAATTACAGTTGATAGATGATCTTGGTCAGGGAATCCTGAGCAGTGACCCCCACGACTCCCCCCACCCCCCTCCCAGAACACAGCTCACAGATCTCAGCCACCCATAGTGAATGCATGCCCGTGTGCTCATGAGTCAGCCCAGAGAAAGCACTAACTACGCTGTGTGTGGCAGCTGGCACAGAGGATCATGAAGACCTCACCCACGCCCTGAACCTCATCAGAGACATCATCTCCCAAGTGGATGCCAAGGTGAGCGAGTGCGAGAAGGGCCAGCGCCTCCGGGAGATCGCTGGGAAGATGGACTTAAAGTCCTCCAGCAAACTCAAGAATGGGCTCGCCTTCCGCAAGGAGGACATGCTGCAGAGGCAGCTGTACCTAGAGGGCGCCCTCTGCTGCAAGACCACATCTGGACGCCTGAAAGGTGAGGTGGGGCCCTGGTCACATGGGGAAGAGGTGGGCAGGACATCTTCTGGAAATGGGGGAAGAGGAGGTTGCCATCTTGGAACAGAAATACCACCTTGGGTGTGATACATGCCATCTTAAGTTGGCAGTGGAACACAGCTAAACAGTAGGGCAGAAAGAAGAAACAAAGACACACACACACACACACACACACACACACACGGTGGGAGCCAGTGGCTTATGCCTATACTCCTAGCTACTCAGGAGGCTGAGATCTGAGGATCGCGGTTCAAAGCCAGTCCAGGCAGGAAAAGTCCATGAGACTCTTATCTCCAATCAACCACTCAGAAAACTGGAAGTGGTGTTGTGGCTCAAGTAGTAGAGCACTCGCCTTGAGCTAAAGAGCTCAGGGACAATGCCCAGGCCCACAGTTCAAGCCCCATGACCAAAAAAAGAAAAGACACACACACATGCACAGAGTTAAAGGTACTGTAAATGCTTTGAAGGAACCAGCAGGCTTCCATGAAAGTGTTCATGCTTAAGGCTGGCGCTCTACCACTTGAGACTTTTTTGTTAGTTCACTGGAGATAAGAGTCTCATGGACTATCCTGCCCGGGCTGGCTTTTAACTGTGGTCCTTAGATCCTTAGCTAGGATGACTGGCGTGAGCCACCAGCACCCAACAAGATGCGCTGGTGTGTTCATACAGAGACATGGCTCCAAGCCAGGTTGGAGGTATGTGGGGGACAGACACCGGCCCTCGCTGCTCACTGTCATAAAAGGCAGGGTGTGAGCATCCAGTGGCTGAGGGCAGAGAGAACAAGTGTTCTTGAGAAATCAGAGTGAGAGCACAGGAAGCTAGGGCACTATGACGAAGAGAACCATCTGGCACAGTAGCCTTGCACAGGGTAGGAACCTGGCCTTGCCTCTGAGCCTGTTATACCACAGCCACCAAAGGGGCATCTAAACGGGGACCAATACACAGGGGAAAAGGTGGGTCAGACAGAAAACTTAAAGGCTAAGAGGGTAGTCAGTACCTAAAGGCCCCGTGGGGTCAGATGACTACCCTGCTACCCATGGAGATCCTGTGTGGCAGCAAGACCACTTAAGCCCCAGCTCTACTTCCGCTAAGATGTCCTTATGTGCTGTCTCCTCAGACATCCTTGCCGTCCTGCTCACTGACGTGCTTTTACTACTGCAAGAAAAAGATCAGAAATATGTCTTTGCATCCGTGGTATGTACCCAGAGTCCCCATCAAAGGGGATTTTTCTGGCACTTTGTGGGGTGGCCCCATAGAAGAGATAGCTAGTAGGGTATATGTGGGGTGGGGAATAACATCAATAAGGGAACACAAGCACAACCCTGGGAAGAAGGCATACTGAGTTAACCTTGTAGAAGCCAGACCTTTCTGGAAGATTCTTACCAGGCTGGAGAATTTGCTAGGGACTAGAGAGCCTCCACTTGCAGCTTTTTGGTGGTTCATTGGAAATAAGAGTCTCATGGACTACCCTGCCAAGGCTGGCTTTTAAATATGATCCTTAGATCCTTAGCTAGGATGACAGGCATGAGCCACCAGCACCTAGCTGGTGTGTTCATACAGAGACATGAAGGTCACGTGGGGACAGACACTTTCCTGCCTGGGCTGGCTTTCAAACCTCAATCCTCAGATCTCAGCCTCCTGAGTAGCTATAGGCATGAACTACCAGCACCTACTACTAATTCACTTCCTGATTCCCCCATACCTTCACCTGCCCTGAGACTGGTGATTCTAATGCTGCTAAATGCATGAGCCTCTCCGTCTCTGCCTTCTTCCCTGCAGGACTCCAAGCCACCTGTCATCTCTCTACAAAAACTCATCGTGAGGGAGGTGGCCAATGAAGAGAAAGCTATGTTTCTGATCAGCGCCTCCCTGCAAGGGCCTGAAATGTATGAAATCTACACCACCTCCAAAGAGGACAGGAACACCTGGATGGCCCACATCCGGAGGGCAGTGGAGAGGTGAGATGGGCCTGGGCTCCTGCCCTCAGCCAGCCCGCTGTGATCTAGAGTTCCACCCGAATGCTTTTCCTCTCATCCGCCTACAGGCCCTGTCTATCCACTTCTTAAATTATACAGAGGCTGGACCCAGCGGCTCACACTTCTTATCCTAGCTACTCAGGAGGCTGAGATCTGAAGATCATGGTTCAAGACCACCCAAGGCAGAAAAGTCCATGGGATTTTTTTTTTCTTTTGTCAGTTGTGGGGCTGAACTCTGGGCCTGGGCACCATCCCTGAGCTCTGAGCCACAGCACCACTTCTGGTTTTCTGGTGGCTAATTGGTGATAACAGTCTCATGGACTTTCCTGCCGAGGCTGGCTTCGATCTTAACCTCCTGAGTATCTAGGATGACAGGTGTGAGCCACCGGTGCCCGGCTTCCATGAAACTCTTATCTCCAATTAACCACTAAAAAAGCTGGAAGTGGAGCTGTGGCTCATATGGGAGTGCTAGCTTGAGCGAAAAAAACTCAAGGACAATGCCTCTAGGCCCTGAGTTCAAGCCCCAGGATCAGTAGGGGGGGGGGGGGAATTTTTTTTAAAAGAACAGAAGGAAACTGGGCTCCAGTGGCTCATGCTTGTAATCCCAGCTACTTGGGAGGCTAGTGATAGAAGAATCATAATACAAAGTCAGTGTAGGCTGACTTTGAGACAGAAGAGACTGTGCCACATCATCTCAGTGGACAGCTAGATACAGTGTCATCCCACCAGCTGAAGAAGATCAAGGTTCAGGCACATATCTAGGCAGGAAACAAGACACTGTCTTTAAAATAACCAATGACAAAACAGGGCTAGAAGGCATGGCTCTGTGGTAGAGTACCTGTCTAGCATAAGACCCTGAGTTCAAATGCCACTACCAACAAACAAAAAGGGGTAGAAAGCCAGCTGCCCATGGCTCAAGGCCTATAATCCTACTTAGGAGGCTGAGTTATGAAGATTGTGGCTTGAAGAGCCTCAAACCTGTACTTGATGTTGGCCGTGGTAGCACATGCCTGTAATTCTAGCCCTGGGGAAGAAGCTAAGGCAGGAAGATCTAAGTTCTAGATGAGTGTGGCTGACAGAGTTTTCCAAAAGAAAACTTTTGCCTGAAGACATTTTGGTGCTTTCAGCCAAATACATGTTACTGGCTCTTTTCTCTTCCCCTCTCTTCTTCCAAGTAAAATCCCTCTCAAAACCACACAGGCTATGCCAGGCACTGGTGGCTCACACCTGTAATCCTAGCTATTCAGGAGGTTCAGATCTGAGGATCACCATTCAAAGCCAGCCCAAGCAGGAAAGTCCATGAGACTCTTCAATTAACTACCAGCATCCATGTCTGAGCCAGCCTTCCAGGGAGCTGATGCCATCTGTCCCCTCTCTGCAGCTGTCCTGATGAGGAGGAGGGACCCTTCAGTGAGGCCGAGGAAGAGAGAAAGGCAGTAGAGGCACGAGCCATGAGACTCAGGGACTTCCAAGGTAAGGAGTTGGCATGCGGGCAGGCCCCTCACGTGGTCCCCAGCCCCTCAGTCTCTCTGTCCTGACCTGTTGGGGCTAGATGTGGAAGGGATCACCCGTGACCAGCCACTTTGCCTGGATGTGCCCCATGTTCTGCTGCTCTGGGGAGCCTCTGGGGCAGAGCTGTATGGTAGGATGGTGACGTAAGATCCAAATGTCACACGCCCATCTTGTTGTGTGTGTCCCCTGCTCACTACCAGGTGTGCCCACCAGCACACCTGGTACTCACATGCAGACCTACAGAGCCTAGCTTAGTAACTGGAAAATCGAGGACTCTCCTCTCTGGGTGCTTCTTAACCCTTTTATTAAAGTGTAATCATGTAATCATATTCTACTCACTTCAGGACGTAGGATCTGTGGGGTTTTTTATTTTATTTTTTGCCACTCCTGGGGCTTGAATCTAAGCCTAGGCACTGTCCCTGAACTTCTTTTGCTTGAGGCTTAGCGCTCTACCACTTGAGCCACAGCACCTTTTCTGACTTTTTCTGGGTAGTTCATTGCAAAAGAGTCTCACAGACTTTCCTGCCTTGTGGGCTGGCTTTGAACTATGATCCTCAGATCTCGGCCTCATGAATAGCAGGATTACAGGTGTGAGCCCCAGGTGCCCAGCTAGTCTGTGACTTTTTGAGTGTTAGCAATATACAGCCATCACCCATCCCAGTGGTCCCCCATAAATCCATTCCGTGGCTGTAGATCCACCTGTTCTGGAAGTTTCTTATTGATAGAGCCACACACTATGTGGGGCATTTTGTGACTACTTCTCTCACTGAGCATGGTGGCCTCAGGGTTCCTTCATGTTAAAAGTCCTATCTTGCCAGGTCCTGGTGGCTCACACCTGTAATCCTAGCTCAGGAGACTAAGATCTGAGAATCAGAGTTCAAAGCCATCCTGAACAGGAAAGTCCACACAACTCCTTATCTCCAATAAATTACCAAAAAGCCAGAAGTAGAGTTCTGTCAAGTGGTAGAGCTCTGTCCTTGAGCAAAAGCAGCTCAGGATCAACACCTAAAGCCCTGAGCTCAAGTCCCAGAACCAGTCCCACCCCTCACTCGGGATGGGGAGGGGGGTAAGTGGGACAGAGTCCCATCTTCTAAGACCGGTATGGTGTTCACAGTGCAGGTGGGAGGGACCACCAGGACAGGGCCACTGGCCCCAGGACCCAGATTCCCCCTCCTGGAGTTCAAGGTCAGCCAGATGCCTATCCCCATAGCCTGCCACCCGGTGCCAGGCACAGGGGATTCTGGGGAGGGCTGGCTGGGCTGAGCGCCACCGCCATGTTCCTTTGCAGAGCGGCTAAGCCTGAAGGACCAGTTAATCACTCAGAGCCTCCTGGAGAAGCAGCAGATCTACATGGAGATGGCAGAGATGAGTGGGCTCCAAGATCCCGGCCAGTCCCACTCCCTCGGGCTCTTCCGTGGGGGTGACCCCACAGAGACACTGCAGGGGGAACAGCTCCTGAAGTCGGCCATGAATGAGAGTAAGTCAGCACTCCATCCTGCCAGGCCAGGTCCGCATGCCACCCTGCACTGGCTGGTAGGGCGAGGCCCAGCGCTAACCTCCAGCTACATGTTTAGACCTTGATGCTAGATCAAAGGCCTAGTACGTGCTAGGCAACCTCTCGCCACCCTTTTGCCAGCCCTAAAGCACTTTTTTTTTGTTAGTTTTGCCATTCCAGGTGCTTGAACTCTGGGACTGGGCACTGTCCCTGAAGCTTCCTTTGCTCTAGGCTAGCACTTTACCACTTGAGCCACAGCTCCACTTACCAGCTTTTTTTTTTTTTTGGTAGTTTATTCTTTTTCTTTTGGGGGTCGGGGAGTCCGGTTGTGAGGTCTGAACTCTGGGCCTGGGCACTGTCCCTCAGCTCTTCAGCTCAAGGCTAGCGCTCTACCACTTGAGCCACAGCGCCACTTCCGGCTTTTTTCT